CTCCCTTGGCTCGTCAGAACTGTGTGTTTTTTTTTTATTTTTTTTTTTATTCTCGTATAATACGATTCGGATGCTTACGCGCGCGCAAGCAGCAACGGCAGCGACCGGTCCCCGGTGGGAACCGCCGCCGCCGCTGCCGCCGTCGAACCGCGCGCTGCCCCGGAGGCCGAACGAAACGGGGCCTGCCCGCCGTCGCCATAAATCTTCGTCACTTTTGACGTGCAACGTTTCTCCACCACCGTCTTCTCCTGGCCCTCTCTCTCTCTCTCTCTCTCTCTCTCTCTCTCTCTCTCTACTTGTGTCCCCGTCCGCCGCCAGCTCGACCTTCCACCGTTCCGCCCAGTCACATCTCGACGGTGACCCCACGACTTTCTTGTTTTCGGCACACACACACTTCTATTCGTCCAAGGACTACGAGTCCCTATCTATATGCGAGTACGTACGTGAGTGCGTATAGCCGACGGCTGCACGAAAACGTCGAGCCTGTCCAAATAATCTGCTTTATAATACGACTGATACACAGCCGTATCCCTCTCTCTACCCATCCCTCGTCCGCTCAGTTTCCTTTTCGGATCTAAGTTTATCCCCGGTTTTTAAGTCCGACAGCAGTACCTACTCGGTGTGTGTTTATATATAAGAGTGGCGGTGCTCGCGGGGTACTATTAATACGTGTCCTCTTGACGCGTTCACGACGTAAACCTTTTATCCATATACACGTACTCTTTGGAGGCATAGCGATAGCGTGCTGCGTGCGTGTATAGGATTATGACTGTGCTTTTGTCCGTTGCAATCAAAGTCAACGGCCGGCACACGGTTAAAACGGACTCCCGCGCGCGATAATGAATCCGGAAACGATACGCGGACACTGCGTCGCATTAATAGCAATCGTGTACACAATGATAAGAATTTAAATGTTATACACGCTTGTAGCACGGAATTGCAGTTGTTGCTCGGCATTGCGATACTCGTCCACAAAATAATCTGTACCGACGAGGTCGTGTTCAAGCATTTCATTTAAACCCAATACAATGATTATGTAATAATAATTATCATGTTTACACAACTTATTGTTCAAACATAAGTTCTATCGATTTTATTACGACTCACTCAATACATTATACTTTATCATAACGTGTAGAATCGAATCAATTTTATGATGTCCAGCAAACATCCATTTCTATTAATTATTTCTTTGTTCACTGATATTTTCAATGCATATGTTTTATCGTGCGTAATAAACGATATTTGTTTAAATAAATAATAACTAATAGATATTTTTGTTAAATTTTGCAAGTATGCACACTAAAGAATAGTAGGGGCGAAAATGAACGAGAGAAATAAAATAGGTACAACGTTCGTTATATCTGATTTTACATTTTCCAATACAAATATATATTTTACGGTAACGAATGAGAAACCCTCTGTGATTAAATACACACACACACACGCATACACATACATATATATATATACAATGCATTACGCACACTTGGGGAAAAAAAGCGATTAATTAAAAATCCCCGTCTGCCGTTTTCATTGGCCGTCGTTGAGTGTATACAGCCATCGAAATTTCCCCCTCGTGTGCGTACACAAACATATATATATATATATATATATATATACACATCGTAACGATTTCTGTTGATCGGTCGGCCGTCGTTTGTAAATGCGTCTTCACGGCGATTTCCTTCCCCCACATCAAAAACTCGTTAAGGTCTTTGTGCGCGAGCAAAAAGAAAGTCTTAACTTTTTTCGAATTTTCCTCGAGGTTAATCGATTCCGTTCTCGAAACTAGTAATAAAACCGAAAGGCTTATAATACTCAACCGTAGCTAATCGCGCGTCGTACGGCCGTATTTGTATTGCATTTTATCGTATTTGTGTATGTACAATTTATTATTAATACAACGCGTGTCATACGCCTTTCTCCGCGTTGTCACTGATAATGTGTGAGCGGTTTGCGCGGTGCAAAGGGTTCGGGAGGCTCGTGTGAAAACGATTGATTCGCTTGGAAAATGTTGCATAAAAAATAAAAATAAAAATCATTTTTATAACAACAAAAATAAAAAACCCGACTAACCTTCTGCTTTGTTGTACAACGCTTGTGTATTGAGGTAGTTTAGAATTTGCATGCAATGCGAGCTAATAATAATCATCGATCTGTATAGATCTCTCCGAAATACGGGTGCGCTTGAGCAGCAGTTCGTTATATTAACATAACATTAATCACGGTAGAAAACACCTTTTTTCTTCTTTTTTGTTTTTTATTTTATTTTTGTACAACAAATATAAAATTGGCGATCGCTCTGTACATGTTATAATTATTTATTTAATGAATAGATACTTTCGTGCAGACGCACAACAATAATATGTAGCGTATTTTATACGTCAAATATTTTGTGCGTGATAATATGAATGAGGCAATGCCGAACGTACGACAATGTTTTAAGACGTCGATTTGTGTTCGTCTTACGAATTCGCAATAATTGGATTCTGCGGAGGCGGTGCAAAAATGTGTGTGCTACTAAAATCAAGCGATACTGTCGATTGAAAAAACAATTATTCAGTACGACCTATAACGTGCGTAACGTGAAGAGTTTCGGTTATCGTTAAATACGTTTGTGGCTTCACATATTTCGTTATGTTTTTCGCTGTACGTCTCACTATGCTCGTGTACCCGATGCGATGGTGGTCTATGATGACATCGAGTCAACTTGTACAAAGCGTCGAAATTTAATAATACAGCAGATATAGAGCTATATGCATGAATTCATGTTAGGTTATGTTATTTGCATGTTACGTTAAGTCCATCTTTGCACACCTAGTGAAAGTAGTGGCTGCTATTATTGGTATATCATTTATGTTTTCGTGTGATCGGGTGGAGCTTACGTGTACAGACGTAAATCGAATACTTTTGAGCATTATGTCGCCGTGTTGAATGCGTGTGGGTGCTTGCGCGCGCTTTTGTGCGAGAAACATTGCGATGATTTATTGTGTATACGACCGGACTTTGACCGTGGTGTTTCAGAAAGGAAACGCGGTCGGCAAACGTACACCCGTTACCAGACGTTGGAGCTGGAGAAGGAGTTCCATTTCAACCGGTACCTGACCAGGCGGCGGAGGATCGAGATAGCGCACGCGCTGTGCCTGACCGAGCGCCAGATAAAGATATGGTTCCAGAACCGGCGGATGAAGTGGAAAAAAGAGAACAAAACCAAAGGCGGCGACGGACAGGGTGGCGACGGCAGCGACATCACCCCTCAGACATCACCGCAGTGAAAAAGCTCTCGCGCGAGGACTTCTTATTATTATTATTATTATTATATGATTATTATTATTATTATTATTACTATCATCATTATGATTACGATTATCATTATAATTATTACTATTATTGCGTACCGTTGTGTGTGTGTGTATACATGATGTTGTCATGTTCGTATAACACATGTGCACACGTAGAAACGAAACTTCACTCGCTAACTCGGTCGCACCATAATTTTGTTGGCGCGTTCGTTCACAAAAGTCCCGACAAAGAAACGCTGTGTACGTACGTACACGTGTGCATATGGGGGTGCGAGTGAGTGCGCGTTTGTGTGCAGTGATGGTGAACTGAGGGTGGAAAAAGTAAAACATATGTATATATGTATAAAACATGTAAGTGCTGTGTACCGTTTGCAGGACGATGATGACTAGTAACGTTTTCTTTTAAACTCGAGGACGAATAAAATAATTATTTTTTCGCGTCGTTCTACTTTAGTTACCATTTGTATATTACGTATACGTGTTCAATTGGAGTGGTTCAGATGGTTTTATTTTTCAAACAATGATATGATCGTTATCGCGCAAACATTTCATTATGAGTTCGAAAAAGAAAAAAAATTTCGTTGCGTTCTGGCTGTTTTCTTGAGTTTATCTTAAAATTTATTTTTCAATTGAAAAAAAAATTATAAAAAATAATGATGTCATCAGTACTTTATACTATCGACCACGAGGGAAATAATATACATATATATGTATATATATGAACGTGTGTAAAATATTTTCTCCCGCATGTGTTGAAACTTACTCTAAGATTGTGTCTAAGTCATTATATCGTAGGGGTTTTTTTTTTTTTTTGTTTTTTTCGTTTAATTTTTATTTAGTTCTAAGCAAATAAATAATAATAATAATAATGCAATGAAATAGTAACAACACAAATAATAATGTGCGCAAAATACTTTTTCCCCTAGAAAAAAAAAAATAAACGACTCAATACGCTTACGTCCGTGTTGTTTTCCGTTACCTATAGGTAAACACTATGAATATAATATTATACATAAATGTATATACAAAAAAAATAAAAAATAAAAAAAATAAAAAAATAAAAATAAAAAATACACAAATATAATATACGCCATTGTGTAATGTCATATTAAAGTATTTTGTAATGAGTTAATGTACGCTCAGGATCTCAAAACCAGCTCAAATAACACGTCCTCAATATACGTATGTATATTATATTATATTGTTTATCTTATATCGGTTTTAATTTCCAGGACCAGTTTTGTTTGTTTTGTTTGTTTTTTTTTTTTTTTT